AATAAAAGAAATCTAAATTTGCAGATGTTTGGTTAATAGGTATATTAATTTTCCCTATTACACCATAAAGTGATGACTTATTTCATAAAATTTGTCGTCGACGATTTAAAACTTCTAATCATTCATAGGTTTTGAGAAATTAGACAAATTTAGTACAATGTTTCATAACGTTTCCAAACAATAATTGCAATCAAAATTTAATGCATGAGGATATTAATGCAAATGTGAGAATAAATGTCTTTGTTATTTAGGTTGATTTGCTTATACATTGAAACACAAATTTAATACGTGAAATGAAGGCATAGGTGTTTGAGAAATAAAGAAAACCCAGGGAAGTTTGGGTTAGCAGCAAACCTAAGTACTCATTAAAATTAATGTTATTTAAATAGGAAACAAATCTGACAAGTTTCAGGGAATATTTTAGTAGAAATTCTGCCATTTAGTAAATGGCATTTAATTTCCATTTAGTAAATGGAAATTCGCTTAGTCTGCAGGTTTGCTGTGGCGGTGATATTTTATATCTAATTTCATTCTCCGTTATTGTTGGCAATGACGAGTTTAATTTGTTAAAAGGACGCACAGTTTCTATCAATGGTTGATGAAAAAATACAACAGGTTGGAATCTAGAATATGACTATGTTTTTGGTGAGAAGAAACCTAAAACATAATAAGATTACTGCAAATTAATAACTAATTAAATTTTACCATTGTTTTAAACAGCTGTTTTATCCAACTTGTTTGCCAGTTTAATCCTGTTTTTATGCGAACCTTGTTATGCTCCAACTTTTAATAAAGAAGGTGGAACTCAGTTTATTATTTTTAGTTCCTCCCACCTGAATACGGGGTCAGTTTTTATAGCTCGAAACAGAGTGAAATATCTGTTCCAATAATAGAAAATATCCGAATAATGTTATATATTGTGTTGCAATAGCTAAACGTGTTAAAGAGAACCATGTTTTCGATTCCCTTTCTCTTTTGGGTAAACGTCTTGTTATTTATATCACTTTATTGGTGGTTTGTCAAGCACTTCTATATAATGATAACCTATATTGTGTAATGATTATCTGCCGAGTGACGTCACGGCCAGGTGACGTTTAATGACTCATTACAACCCGGTTATAACGCGTAATGAAGTTGGAAATGAAGGTTGGAATGACGCCACATGCTGTCTACCTTTATGGCTATACGGTTAACTATAATGGTATAATACGACCCAAAACTAATTATTTTATTGAATAAGTCACCAATCTTTGCAACATTATATAGTTCGTTTAGTTTTTGGAAGAATAGTAATGGAATTTTCGAAATCAGTGATACTATGTTGCCAAAAAATTATAAAAATTAAAAATGTGTCCAAAAATTTAGGAATATAACTTTTACTTCGAAATTACTAGTGATAAATTATTTACTAACAAAAAGTTTAGTATTTTATGACTTTCAATACAATTCAAGTTATCCTATCTAATATACCTATCTTTCTGTTGTTTTTCCATGTACACTCAACCAAAAACGAATTCCAAGCCATTGGGTTATGGGAAAATCACAAACTATAAAATACAACAAAATATCCAGTAGTAGATTTATAGTCAGTGCTAAAGGTCCTTATGATTGGCTGGATTTGAACCCGAGCTGCTGAAACAAAATGGCCACTCTCCAAAAAGTAAATGTTAAAGCATGTAAATCAATTATTTCACTGAAGTCGAGCACCATGCTTAACCTCAAGTTTTACAATTTGTTCCACTGTTGGAGGGTTCGGGCTGATACGGTAGTTTTGAAAGTTAAACGAGAACATGTGTGCAGAACGTTGAGAGATTTGATCTAAATTAATAAAGTTAAACGAACCTGTCAACGCCATCATATTGCTTCCCATTCTTGCATTGGTAGTTGTTTACTTATACTGGGGTAGAAAACTGAACAATACTTTCAATTTACTTCATTGCTTGTTTATCATCCTTTGGGATCACCTGAAGACGATATTTTAATGTGTTGTTATGTCTGGCAATTCTTGAGTGTTTGTTTTTATTGTCTCTCTATTTTATTAAAGATTTAGTACAACCAAATATGATTTGTAAACTTCTGCTTGTCTTTTAGTGTTAATTTATAATGAAAAAAAGAAGACAATTAAAATGTTTATCTACGACAGTTTTTTAAAGCAGCCATTTCAGTACAGTTATTAAAATTGAAAATTTTCACATAACAGCATTGTTTACTGACTTAACATCATTGTTGTTTTACTTAACAACACGGGCAATGGACCAATGAGAGTCAAGGATTGATAGAGAAGTAAAATCGTAATGCTTAGAATAAATAATCAGCTGTTTAGAACAATTTAATTGTTAATGAGCGGTGTTTGGTACTGATTCGTTGCATCACTATCAGTGGCAATGAGAGGTTATAAATGAAAACATAACCTCTCTTAGAAACTATGAGTAGTAATTGTTGGTAATTAAACAACTGTTGTAGGGAAAGTAGTGTATGTAAAGTAAATAGTCTTAACAACACTCGTAGAAGTTTGTAGAATATTTCTACAAGTTTCGTTAACGCTATCTTTACGCAATCGTTGCGTAAACTATTACGTCCTGAGGATGCATTTTAACCAAATGAAACTATACACACTATTAGGGAAACACTGCTATTAATATAATGTTTTTGTGATAGTGAATTGTTTCTGTAAAATGATAGTTAGTCATCGATGCACTCAAATGGTACGGTACATTAAAGGTAATTATAATAACCTTCATCTAATGAAATAGAAAACACCCCTTTATGAGTGTGTGTATGAATGAAATAGTCCATGGTAAGTAGAAATCTCATCTGTATGAAGCAGTTAAAGAGATTTTCGCAGAAAAGAATATACTTTAACGAATCACACACAGATGAGTTACTGACAAAATAGTTTTTGTTGTACTAAAAGTGGTACGACATAAAAGATAATACAGTTTACAATAGGTCGATTTTTCAATTTATATATTTTTAATACATCGGTGTATACAAAATAGTTAATCTACTAACAACAGCACACTCTGTAATAAATGCAACTTAATATTTTACTCAAAGAAGAGAATTCTACTTGCAGTATCCAAAGTCAATGACAATTATTTTTACGTTGAAACAAAACGTTCACTTTAAACTTAACACGTTGAGAGCCAATTTGATATCACTCAAGCGCTGAGAGGCTTATAACCTGTCTGTTCTTAAGTTTTGATAAGGTTGTCATGAGCAGACGTACCTTGATGCATGTGAACACTTATTTCAACGAGAACTGCTTGTTAGGAATGTCCTCAGGGAAGGAACAAATAAGGGTGTGTGTTTTCCTCAACTTTACAAGGTATTTGTATTTTGCTTGTTACAGTTATTATTTTTATTGTGAAATTGTTTTAGAGTTTAAAAACTTATTTTGTAAACCGAGTATATTAATGTAAGTTTTATAGTTGACGGTGGGATACAAAAATGTCAAGTTAGTATATGTGGGAAATGCAATGTTTAAAAATTAAAATGTAATACTGTAATACGTGAGGATGTGTATACTGTACTATAAACAGTTTTAGATTTCGTATAAATATTAGTATAGAGAAAGTCCTTCTTCTAAGATATCTTAGGGTCCGGGCTTCGAACTGATCCAAACGGTGATCTTAAAGGGAATTGGTACGCCTTAAGTCTCCTGGATGGAAGTCCTTAGTTACCTTTCCGCATGATATAATTTAAATAGCATGGTCCATAATTCTACAATAATAAATCTTTTAACGCAAAAGCACTAAAATGGAGAAACGTAAGTGATTTAATAGCATAAACAGTTTTTAAACTAATCATGAACCACTCTCATCCTACTCGATGCTCAACCCAACATCAACCAGACCAACTGTAGGATCTGACTAAACGTAAGTAGTATTGAAATATAAATTTTGAATATATTCCATGGCATGTCTCTAATTTGAAGCTAAAACTTCTCCATTACAACGCTTCGTAATAGTCACCTGTCAACAATACGTTTATCTCGGTAGTCTAAGTCTTGTTATCACTGAGCACTTATCTCGAGAGGTCACGTGAGTCCCGCCTCTTATCAGTGCGGTGGCTGTGGTGATAGAGGATGCCCGGGTATCCAAGGCCTCCTTCGTTGACGTCGTACAGCCAGACGGAGCTAGGAGCCTTCAAACCGTTCCTGGAGAAACCGAGGAGTTTACACAATAAACATGTGAGAGTCAAGATGAGGAAGAGACGAGGTTGGTGGAACATTAGATTTGTGAGGGTTTTGTATTGAGCTGGTTTAAAAGTATCTGGCTTTTAAGAGTTGACATCTTGTGTGGGATCAAAATTTGACAAGATAGTTTGTTTGCATCAGGTGGTTTGTACTCCCCTAAATGCTGAAAATAATTTTCCACAGAAATTTTTGCTAGAGCTAGTAAGAAACTTAAAAAATATCATCGTCATAATTGGGAGCAGTTTTTCTACTAGTTGATATTTCTATTAGGCTGTTGAAGAAATTCCCTAACAAGTGTTTGCCTTTATATACGTTAAGAGCTGCATTGTCTTGTTGATGATTTTCCTATTTAACTCCATGGTCCATGGTCATTTGATATAAATATCAAATAGGTCTATAGTAGTTTTCACCTTACATTACTTTAAGTAAGGTAAGGTGGAAACAACTATAGTCCTTTTTTCTGTTTATAGACATTATAAAACTGTTAAAATATGGATAGAAAGTAGATTGGATGAAATACACAAGATTGTACGCAGTTATTTAAAGACACTTCTCCAACATCACAACATTTACAGAACGTTTTGAAACAATCGCAATTTATATTGTAGCCTTGATAATGTGGTTGATATAGTCTGTATGATGGAACCTGTCTCCTGACCCTTCGTATACATGAGGACTGGCCCTGGTGAGTCCCAGGTTGACAGGATCTGTAGACAGGTTCCACCATACAGACCATAGTTGATGTTCTTCTGATGTAATGGTCAAAACAATCAAATATCATAGTAACCATGTAATGTTACAGAGATGCCTAGTCACCGCCAGGTGTCAGATCACCACCACAGATGGCGTCACCTGTTCTGGAAGATCCTGGAGGTGTTCCTAGCCGAGACTGTAGGCACGGGGATGTTGTTGTTCTTCGGATGTATGGGACAAGTCAACTTCGTGCCTGAAGTTGAGCAGCATCCACTTCAAGGGGCTGTAGTGTTTGCTGTCGTAGTTGCAACCATAATACAGGTAAACAGGAGAAACTTAATCTGCATCATTTGGTGATTCGATGGTTCAGTCAACAAAACGGACTACGTTTTTTTTTGCAGCGATGTGATAGGTTCGCGTTCTTGAGTCCACCGCTGAATTTTTCAGTACAACTATTGTACTGTACCAACTCACACCTTAAAATAGTTTGGAAGCTAAGTGGTTTTAGTACAGTACTCTCATTCGAGTATGAAAGTTCTTGGTTCTATCAAGCGGGTAGATTTTTGCCCCGGACACTATTTTGTAATTCATACATTATTAATGCTATATGGAGGACGCTAAATAGTCATGAGGTCATGGTTTGGACCGTTCTAATGGCTTGAGAAATTGAAAAGTTCCAATGGCTTGAAACACAAATAGACGATAAAAGAACCCCACAAAACAAATGCAGATGTTACTTTTAAAACCCGTTATTGAGGTAGACACCAGAGATGTAATGCAATATGAAAGTAATCACATATAAATCCCCCACGTATCCAAACCCCCACCTGAGACATGCATGTAACAAATTATGTAGAGATTCTCCATGCAGCCTGTGACAATTTTTGGAAATTATATAGTTTCTAGAGACTTTAAGATTGTTTTTGACAGATTTTTGGACACATCAGTAATGCCCATCTCAATCCCGCTGTCACCATCGCCTTCCTGATGTTGGGGCAAGTGACAGCTCCAATGGCTTTGGTCTACGTTCTCTCAGAAGTTGCAGGGGCTGTACTAGGCTATGGACTACTCATGGTGAGTTTTAAACAGTAACAACTGGTAAGCAGGTAAAATTAAAAAGGTGAAATTCTAAAAATCCTTAAAACATCCGTAACATGAAAAATAAAAAGTACCATTGATTCAAGCGTGATTCCATTGAAACAAACTAAGTGTGCTGACATTACATACACGTGAATTTAAAATGTAGGTCTGGTAATGCTTTGGTGATCTAGCTAAAAACTTAAATAATTATTGCTGTTGACCCTATAAAGACCAAAGACGGACCTTGACGTCAACTATCTTGTAAAATACTATAGAAGAAGTAATATGCAGATTACTTTGTGGACTCAGAAACGTCCTGCTGAGTAGTACGTTAGATAGTTTTAGCTGAACTCAGCTATTTCCACACCAAGCTATACAGAGCATATTAACCGTCAGCAAAATGCTTACTACCTGTCTACACTTCGGCAGTTATGTGTATAACACTACGCTCTTATTATCCTCGATATTGTCATGATTAAACAGTGATAAGTATTTTAATGTGTAAAATAAAATAATAATATAAATAAATAATAAACAACCACAAACCTGAATTGTGGTGTGCCTTGCCCCAGCTTATTAGAAGTCTAAGTCTGGTGCTATAGAAGTCCAGGATGTCACTGAGAATCCTTCCACCCTTTCCTAATGACGTTTGTAACATTCTATTTATCTTGTACTGTTGTTGGCACCTTTTGATTTGCCTTCAGCATCACAAAAACTCTGCTGAACCTTACATGAACCAAGGTTGGTAGTATAGTATGCCGATTCTAGGAGGTGAGAATCCTTCCACCTCTTCCCATTGACGTTTGTAACACCCTACATGTCTTGTGCAGCTGCTGACGCCTCCGGACGTACTGACCTCAGCATCGCCCAATTTATGCTGCACCTTGCCCCACTCGGGTCTCACAGACGTCCAGGCGGTCGCCATGGAGTTCTTCGCCACATGTTTCCTAGTGATGGTCGTGTGTGCCTGTGCTGACCCCAGGAACCAGGATAAGTCAGACTCGGTGCCACTCAAGTTTGGATGCACCATCCTCGCGCTCTCTATAGCTGTGGTAAGTGGAAAAGACGATAATGGTGTCGAAAAGAAATTAAAAATCCTGTATGGTTGAGGATTTACTAAAGGAGGTCCTTGAACGAGATCATTGGTCGTCGAGAGAAATAGAGCAAGGCAACAATAGTTTGTTTACCCATTATATTTAATTGAAGACATTTTTAAAATGTGGGTATAGGATTTCGAAAAAAAATTTTTTTTCGACGTTAACGTAATAAGGGGTATAGCAAAATATGATTTTTTTTATAGCCGTTGTGGTTTAAAAGCTACTCTAAATAAACTGCATCATTTGCTCTAAGCATTAAAATTATTGAATTAATATAATAAATGTTAAGAGACACAATAAGATTTTTTTTGTATACAGCCAACTCTAAAATATGTTTTCAAGATAAATATTTTAACAGTTGTAGCATTAAAAACAGATTTTACAAGTCGCAAAACTGAAAATGGAGTTGATAGAAAACCAGAAGTAAATTAACTGATGCAATAACGCTAACTTTATATTGACACAAAATATTGACTGATAAATGTGAGTTGTCAAATTAGGAAATATCCGTCAGTTAAACCAAGACTTAATTTAAATTGAAAGTTTCTTTACCTTGCCTTGTGCACAGCATTTCACTTTTAGTTAATTTTATATTAGTCTATTTTTCTGATATTTAAAAAATAGAGGTATTCTTATTGGTTTTGTAATTTAATTTCCAGGGTCCCTACACAGGCGCCAGTATGAACCCAGCACGTTCCATGGGTCCAGCATTATTTACTGGAAATTGGACCAGTCATTGGGTAAATATATATTTTATGTCTGGATAACATAATGTCTGTAAACATAGCTCGACTTACAAAAAGTGCTGGAAAACATACAGTACTTCTTATGTTGTAAAAGATTGTGTTAATACGCCATTTTCAAAGAACTATCTTGACATTTCCATACGCTATCCTTACTGTCTTTAAGTATAACCATTGACTATTGGATACTGAAGGTATAACAGATCTTTTGGTGAATGGGTTTTTAAATGGGTATGGGTAAAACAGCTGATCTTAGCAAGGAAAATACACACACTCACAGGGCTGTGGGGAGACAAAAGTGGCAACGCCGCAGTACCGGCTCACTGAAACAGCTGATATACTGATTTATTATTACTGTTGTTACCATGGCAACAGGCCGGTGCGACGTTGCCACACCAACGCCTCGGCCTTGAACTAGAGAAGACCATAGCCGTACAGTCCAAAGCATTCTGCCCTTGAAAAGAGCTTAAGTAAACAATTCCTAATGTTTCAGGTATACTGGGTAGGGCCTTGCCTCAGCGGCTTCTTCACAGCCATCTTCTACCAAGCCATCTTCAACAGACCGCAAGACCCCAATCTTCTCTATGAAGTTGAACCTCTCAACATGGTCAAAGTAAACGACCCTTCGTCCTCCAAAAGGGAGAGGGAAGAGAAGCGATAATGAGCCTAAATACAACACAAAACTGTAGAAATTAAGACTGAGATTCCCGTCCATCCGGCTCACACTTGTACATCACGTAGCTGGCATTTTGAACGGAACTATTATTGTTATTTTTATTTAGAGGATTGAAATAGGTTAATTTGTTTTGTAGTTTTTGTACAAGTAAATTGTTTTTGTTTATTAAATTTTTTTGAGGATATTTTCCTTGAAGACAACAGTTTAACTTATTGATAAGATGCAGTACAACACTTTTAACTGTGTTGTTGCTATTGTAGCCATTTTCTTATCTCAAGAACCAGGTTAGCTGATGACTTAACTCTAGAATGTATTTGTCTGTTATCAGTGCTTTTTAGGTTATCTTAAACCTCCAGACATGATAACTACACACCTACTTATACAATTAGAACTATTGTTTCTGCTACTGTTCAAAATCATACTTTATCAGTTCTACGACTCATATTTCAAGGTATATACGCAAACCCTACCAACTATTTTAATAAAACATGTACAGTACTATAATATTTTAGTTTTGTATCAAGGAGTTTAAAACATAATAGGCCAATTTGGGCCAAACAGAAAAACAATTTATCACTTTACACTGCTGAACAACTAATTCGAACCAGAGAAAGGCTACTTTCTAAACACTGTAGCCTCTGGAGATACCATTGATTATTGGAATTACGAAAAGCTTCATGATCGATGGTAATACTGTACTTTTTCTTCAGTAGTTTTAAGAACCCAATGTTTTTTACACACAGGTCATATTGATATCCCCTTGTAAATTTAAAAATATACTAGGGGTTTAAACAATAGGAATTTAATATATAGGGATAATATATAGGAATTTAATATACAGGAATATATAGGGAGTTTAATCTATAGGTACACTCGGGGGTAAACAATCATATTTGATCAATGCTACTTTATACTCTTTGGTTGGTCAATATTTTCCAAATTATGTCACAAAAATATGAAAAACTTTAACAGTATAACCTTATAGGCTATTTATAAGCTTTATCACCCTTTTACGTAATGACAGTTTACTTAAAAACAGACAAACCAGAACAGGTCAGATACCATTGCGCAAATAAAAGCTCTCTTCCACTTCAAGTAGGCTTTGATAACCTAATAAATACAATGTGTTGTCACTTATAGGATCCATTGATCTTTTAATCACTTGTGTTGTGTTGTGGATCCTAGTGTTCTTGCCTTGACACTAACAATTTATTTACACATCTTTTTAAGTATACCTGAGTTAACCTAGTTATAATTAAAACTATTTTCCAAGCCTCATGTAAGCAAAGATGAATTACCCGTTTAAAAGGTTTACGATAAAATACATAAATACATACATACAAGATATACTTAGTCAAATTTACAGACGGGAAAACTTCTAAGTCTGGTTTTTTGAGATTACCCGCATTAATTAAAAACGGGTTAAAATATTCATCCCGTCAACTGCAGGGGTAGGTGATTTATTTTAATCCTTTACAGAAGGTACTTTTTACTTATAACCAAAGGTTTTTATACATATTACGTATTTTCAAGAAGCAGTAATTTTACCATCCTACTAATCTCATAAATTTATTTTGTAAAAAAAATTCTAGTTAAGATAATTGTTTACAATTTCATACATATTCAAAGTTTTAAAAGCCAATAAGTTTTGAAGGAACAAGAATCAAAATGCTCTCCTCTTTTAAAATATGTTTCAAAGTTGAACAGTTGAAAGTTGGAAAGTTTATCTTTTAAACATGGTCGATTCGGTGAAGTAAAGTGGAATTTATGAAAGCAGCCTTGACAATGGAGAAAAGTCCTGTTTAATTCAATGAAAACTTCTATAAATCTTTAAGTAGCTATGAATTCGATGAAAGCAGTTTTGGAAGGAAGAATTTAAGTTTTATACTTGTTTTAGTTTTATAACTTCATTCTGAAGAAAAAGACTTAAAATAACCAATGTCTTTATGTATTTAAATAAGTTAATATGTATATAAACTATTTTTTCTATTTGCATTAGAAATATGAATGCAGCTGGTATCATATAGGTAGGAAACCTAAACGCCTAATGGGTAAAACGATTAAGTAATGGTATTGATATTGATTGTTTTTATAAATTAAAACCTGTTGATCATTTTATGATACCAAAAAACAACGTAAGCTGTATTAATTCCAAGGATAATGAGGCGTGGTTGATTTATTTACATTGGAAGGTTTGTTAGTTACTATGACACGTTTCAATTTAGACCAAACACCGTAAAATATTTCCTGCAGAGTCAGCTGAGCTTTAACTTTTACAGAGGTAAACAAACCTCCTCTAAGCATAGGGGTTCGTAAATTAACACTTGTATCATAACAGCCACGAATACTAGAACAGACGGTTAACAGCTGATCATTAAAACGATTTGTCCTTTAATTTATACGAGAGGTCGTCCAGTGGTCGAAACTCGACCAAAAAGATGTAATGTACTCAGTTCTCTATTTTCACCCCACACTGTAAATAAAACATGTGATTGGAGTTGCTTCCATTTGTTTTGATTTTCTGTTTATATTTCGTTGTTATTTCGTCACCAGCATGGCAACGCATAAAATCCATGTTAATTTTTTCAAATTTTCAAACTCATTTTTTGTGCTTATCTTTGAGCCTATTTAAATTTATAAAGGGATTCTGCACACCTACAGGAAAATTGCTTTCTAACGGTATGCGCAGATTTACCCAACGATGCACACAAGCTGAGAAAAAAGGTTTTAAAGAAACATGCTTGCCTATTAATATATAGATAGATTGTGTTTCGTGTTGAATTTGAATATTTTAATTAGCGTTAATGAAAAATCTAAAAATGAATAATCTAGAAATGAATAATCAATGTGTTTGATAACATAATGATATTTTTGGGGCAATAATGATAATTTTTCATAAAATCAGCAGTTTTTAGTAATTTTAATTAAAAAAAAATTATGGCCGTCATTTTAAATTATTGGATCACGATATATTTTTTCCTCAAAACGACCTCTTCTACCATACCAAGTTTCATAAAGATCCATTGAAAAAATTTAAAGACAAAAATGTTTATGTGAAAAATACAAAATGTTGGATATCAGAATCGATTTTGGAAAAATTGTTGATTTTGATTTTCTCTTTATTATAATCCATACAAATATTTCCTGGAATTTGGCTGTTTACATGCGAGACACAGTCTAAATCATGTAATCCGTTTGTACAATGTAACCGCATGTAACTGTATGTACAATGTACCGTATGTAATCCTGTAATGTACAATGACATTACAGGAACTACAATGTTAATGATGAGATGGGGGTGTTAATTGATGTTGAATTAAAACATGTTCAATAAAATCGCTCAAACCACTGGAAACACATTTGCAACAAATACGTAGTAAGTTCATAACCAAAACATAAAAAAATCCTGTTAAATCAGTCTTAACAAAAAAACTAAAATTATACAACCTAAAACAAGCTTGTGAAACATCGAAAGTTCCAAAGAGTCTTAAAAGCGACGATTTCCTTAACGACTTCCACACAAACAGAACCTGGAATAGTTTATCTTTGAGTTCCAGAGTCAATTTGGCAAAGTAAAGTGGAATTTGTGAAAGGATTCGACTCGGCAACATCGGGAAAAGTTCAATTTAATTGAATTGAAACCCCAATAAATCTTTACGCAGAAGCTGTGAATCAGAGCGAAAACCAGCGGAAATTCGCTTTCAACATTTCCTAATGTCGGAAGAAAAACATTTTGGAATTTTGTTTTGAGTGATAAATTTAGTATGCTTTTTTTTAGTATGATTAAATTTTTTACGTAAATGCCACCAAAAAAGAAAAAAAAATACAAACAACAAACTATTTTTTACACAGAAGATATAACTGGGCTATCTATCCTGACACATAGATAATTTGATTCTGAGTTTGTTTAAATATTACAATACAGTAATTTGTTTTACATTTGAGCTGTTTAGGTACTTATGTCTCCACATCCACTAGTAGAACATTAACGCTGTTGTGTATTACACATTTTATGGTTGGTTTAATAATGTCAATAGCGTCTTGAATAGCATAACATATTTTTGTTTGTGTTTTTTATGTAAGGAAACTACCCATCTTCTTACTACCTAAAGTCAAAATTTCGTTAAATATCATAATTAATTGATAGCCTAGTCACAAATTGGGTCTTGGTATATAATCGATCTTACTGATTTGAACTAGTGGTCTCTAGATTTGAAGGTGAGCACTATAACCACTCAAAAACAAATACAATTAGCATTAAACCTATTGGTGTTATGGTATATATTCAATGGTATAGGTTACGCACATAAAAAGTCAATTTTAAACACTACTAATGTAATGCTCTATGCGATTCCAAACCACTTCAGCTGTACTCCAATAATCCAGAGCCTTCAGAATATAAATTAATAATAGTTGACTTAAACAAGTTATTGATTTATTTTGAAAACTAGCTGTGTGCCCGTTCTACGCACGGATATCTTATCGTAAAAGCTATTGGCGACGATCGTAATTAAATTTAAGTTTCCCACCCGTATACAACACTGATTCAAGGTCTTCTTTCTTGTTATCAAAACTCAAGAACAATTTCATACACTAAAGAATTTCTGGTTCCTGACCTGGATGATACCAGGTTAATTAATTTCATTTACGGTTACACTATTACACTATATTATTGAACTTGCGATTAATTAAATCCGTTATGTAAGAAAAACGTTTTTAATCTCACTTCGTTGAGATTCGCTTTCAAAACGTGATCGAAAATGGTTGCGGTATTTGTAAACAACATTTGTAAACATATCAGTGACAGCTAGAAAAAATAATCTTGATCCGAACAGCTGTTTATTATTTCATAGATGATTATGTGATAAAAATTGGACGAAAACTTAAAAAAATCGCACAAAACAGCATTTTTGAACGTCCGTAATTTTATTTACAAAGTAGTGAGACCATATTTTAATGGCTAAAGACACTCTTACCAATCCAGTAAATACATTAAAACGACTTGGATCTTGATAGGTACTCTCGTTTTCCTGGAGAAGATTGCGTAAAATGCCATCTTGAGTGTTGCAGACGGACAGACAGACAGACAGAAATTTAGATGAGACTTGTTTCGGCTTCTTTAATGTATAAAACGTAAAAATAACCTAAAAATTTATGATTCTGAGCAATGTACAGACAAAACTCTAATTTTATTTATGTAGATTTTATTTATATAGATAACCAAATATATAATACATAACGCAAACACAAAAATCCAAGCACATTCATGGGCACAAAAAGGAAAAAATAATATAATAAAGTTGAAGATAAAGGAGGTAAAATCAAAACTTATGCTAAGTGCAGGTGGTGCGATCAACACGACTTTAAAGTTTTAGAGAAAGCAGTAAATCCAGAAGAAATTTTAAACAAAGCTCATAAGCCATGTTATGTTTCCTGCAAACTAAAGTAGTTTATCTTCGCAACGCAGATTCCTTGAAATACCTCAGTTTTAAATAACCGCGGGAATAATTGAAAGACTTTGCAGCACTTTTCTTAACTTAGGGATGAGTATTTACGTTAAATAACAATTCGTATATTAACATAATAATATTCTTTGTTATAACGTTAATTGTTGAGGATGTTGAATTATTATGTTTGAAATAATTATTATATACATACCTAGCAGAGTGAGCATAAAATACTTATTGGCGTTATAGGAGACGTTTTAAGAAAATGTGTTTCTTTTAGTTTATAGGGTATACTGCACCTAAACCATAGAAAGAAGTAAAGTTCTCATTGGGTGCCACAGCTTTTTGTTACTAGTTGGTTCAAATTAGCTGTTGTCATGCAAAATAATAATAATGCTGCACCCTGTTGGTAAACCTTATAACTTTCTAACGCTGTTGAATATCATAGAACCAACTTGAAAAGTTGAAACAGCTGACGAAATTCTTAAATTTCTTTTAAATATGAATACAAATAAGGTTTGGAAACTCTAGAGCTACTGGGGTGGAGCCCGAAAGGATTTTTGAGATGAGAATATGTCTATATGTTAATCGGGAATGTGAGCTATCAAAATTTAACCCACCCATTCACAAACAATCCATCCATCCATCCATGGTACATCCAAACGTTCTCACTTATAATATTAGTAGGATTATTTAACTGTAAAACAAATATTCTAGTAGGCCTAAGCTTTGAAACAAATATTATATTCCCTTTCGAGATGACGAGGGGTTGTATACGTTGTGTTCGCCTGTGACGTCATACATATGCAGATTAGTATGTCTAACTTGTAACTCCAGGCTGATGTCAGCGTAACTCTGTTAGGTAGTATGTAATCCCACTTGTTAGACAAAACTCATACGTTACTTGTATATAATTGTACTTTTAAACAATTAAAATAACAGGTTTCGAAAGATACTATTTATTAGGAAAAACTTGTTCATAATTTGGTAACAAACCACCTGTTTTCTTCATTTAATTACCAATCAGCTGATGTACAATGTTGCATTGTATACTGGGATATTTATTTAGTCTTATTGTTGGTTTATTACGAATATACTCTTTTAGTGTTTGTAGAAAAACACAAGTAAATCATTGGCTTTATGTCGGGAAAGGTTTTAAATTAAGTTTCCAGGTTTGATTCCATTATCTAATAAATCAATTAATTTTGTTCTTTAACAACTTAAGGAACCCAGATCTGTAGAAAACAGAACCGCAGGCCTTTAGTCCATACTATTTGAGATTGAGAAAACACAAAGTTGAGTCTTACTCACATAATTTCCGTACAACACTAAACCTTAGACAACAAAACAGCAATGCATATCAGCTGATCGACAATGAAGTCGGTGGAAGATACTGGGCTACCAACTTAATAAGGGCATAGACAAATATAATTAAATATAGACCGTCAGCAGTGCTGCGGTTGGGGTAAGTTCTGGCGTCCACCGCTGGGCGCACGAGATACGTAACTACACGGCACTCGTAGTGGTGGACGCCAGAACTTATGCTAACCGCAACACTGCTGACGGTCAATATTTAATTCTAATTCTATTTGTCTAACTATTCTATTCTATTCTATTGTTATTTGTGTTCTATTCTATTTGTCCTCTTATGATAAGAGCTTGTTTAGCCCTTATAGTGTTCTTGAACTTGTAATATGGATCACGAAAAAACTCCCCTTACGTTGCTTTACGAGGTGTAACATCATTATAATGATTTATACAGAGTTTTTAAGTTATTCAAAATACATTAGTAATATTAACAGCTTGACGTGTGATTTTAAAAATGTGTTATTAGTCAATGTCCAAGCGTTTGAGACTCTAAAGCGAAGGGGTTATTATACCACGACATTGAAGAAATGTATCATGACAAGCTGTTGTAACCGATTGTTTAAGAGTTTACTTTACTTAATAATTTGCTTTAAAAATAAACAAATGTACAACATTTTCCACAATTCAATCCGTGCAATGGGTTGTACAATATACCAAACAGCTGTTTAAGCGCCGCAATATTGGTTACAGTTTTAACGTAAAACCCACCAATCACAGCCAGTTTCCGTCGCTCCGACAGCCAATCAGAGTCATCCATCACTCGACCACGTGACCAGACTATTGTCTGTAATGAACCTTCACTTCTGTCTAAGGCCTTAAGTAGTCTGGAAGTACGTGACTCAATAAGTGCAATATGTTTGGACTAAGCTAAGTTTTATATCGGTGTCTCACATATCGAAATATACAACTGCTCAAACACAAGTAAGCCTGTTGCAATCCCTTTGTGAGAAATATATTAAACCCTCTAAGCACTCATCGACCATCATGAATAACATATAAAAATGATTAATGGTAGTACAACCACAACTCAACAAAAACTTTGGGTTTTAAATATTGCACTAATTGCACGAAAGTGAGGTATTGAAAGTGATATGTTGGCTTTTTGAAAGGGAAAAAATATCGTTAAGAACAAATCCGGCCTAGGTGAGGTATGATGTTATGCTAACAAAAGTGGTTGACTTTTTGTGATAGAATATATAAAATGTTAAAACATTGTAACGACTAACTATGAGCATTTTTATTTGGAATTATCTCTGCCTTGGCAAAAGTGTAGAAGTAAGCTATAATGAAATTATTGGCTGCATTGGATATGGATTTTAAGAGACCCCAATACCAGTAGATTATGGAACTTCAGGAAGTTCGGAAGGAGATGTCGGACTCCTAAATAAGTTCCTGAAGAACCTGGTTAAGGACTGTAGCAGGGTTTGGTGGCAGAGACCCTCTTAAACGTTGGGTAGTTTAGGTATAATCAATCATGTATACTGTATAGTCAATGGTATAAGTTAATAGTAGTAGCTTATTCGAGAATAGCATTTAAAACCCGGCGTATTGAAACTTTCCAGCCATATATTTTGAAATTTTAGCGGACAAAGCTGAGACAATTAACAGACCCTAGCCTACCACTCCTATAAGAGTCACCGATGTTTCTTATCAGTGTTTCGTCTAAAGATAATGAGTTATTTAGTTCACTAGGCGCCTCCTGGCAGGTCTCGGAACAACACAAAGGAATACTCGAATTGAGGTAGGCAATGGAAATAAAATATCAGATGTATATCATTCAGGTTGCATAGAGTCCAAATGGAATATTTCTCTCAATTTGCCAAATTTGGTTTTTATTTTAAGAACTGTATCTTGGTAGATAAAAATGTCCACTGACTATAAAAATGCATCAAAATTAAACGAAGGTTCAGTAAGAGTACGTAAAGCTTTACAATTAAGCTACATCATTAAATTGAATTACGTATGTTATATATTCAATAGAAAAAGGCCAAATATAAATTATGCATAACTGTATGACATGTTTTATTGCAATATCATGCAGTACCTACCTGTACGATATCAACAACTATAACTGCAATTTAGTTGTTTTATATGGATGAAAGTGCTGTCTTTTAAAACGGCAATATAGTAACTACTGCAAACGTTGTTTGCAGAAAAATAGTTTACGCCTGACATTATCTCAATTTCCATAACACTAGTAAACATTTACCAATTTGTTTACGTTTAACTGAACTATCATAACTAATGAGACAACACTAGACATCCAAATATGATCGGATTTTATTATAAGGTTTTGAATATACCCAAGTCAATTCTCATTATAGTTTGCCTACTTATCTTCTACTTGCTGGTAATAAAGCATTATCTAAAGCTCTGAATTTAATCTCGAACGATGTTGATGGGGGACAAATGTCTGTCTTTGCACGAAAACCAAGTAATTAACAAAGGCACAACCTTTTATCTAGTGTTTTAATAAAATAGTAATGAAGAATCTTGTTTGACAAGGGGAATTTTAATGTGTTTCTTCTGAGCGTGTATAGAGTAATACCCTAGGTATGTACAACCTTAAAAATTTAATTGCTTAAGATTTACTGTATTACCATTTAGTAAAATTCTTATAATTTGGCCTAACATGCAAGTTTTTAGTTCTAAGGCATGAATGTATTGAATTGCTAGTATACTGAACATACTACATCCAAGATTTAGAGAAAATGGAACCACATAAAATTCACTTGCTGTGTAAGTTGGGGATTCAATAGTCTTACTTTGTAGTCTAATTATGTATTAAAACTAAAAAAAAATATTCAACTTGTTGATGAAAATGTAACGAAATCCAAACTCCTAAATCAGAAACTGCATCAGAACTGTTCTCAATCTCATGATCCATTATAATGATGAAGTTATTTTTAAATAGTTTTAAAGTAGTCATTTAGTTGACACGTGGTAAAACGGTTTTCTATTCTCTTTAACCCAATGTTAAAACTATAAAACGTTGGATGATTAAGTCTTGCAACCCCTTCTCTTGAAGTACGGTACAAGCTTGAGCCATATACCGATTTTAAGCAACGATTTAAGAAAACATTTTCAGAGTCGGTTGACATCTGGAGTTTTTACTTATGTTTAGACCTTTAAGTAGGCATACACTTATAATATTCCAATGGCCATGCCAGTTCTACTTCCACTTTTCTTCTGAATGAATCAGATTAACATTTTGCAATATTCCCCATGAATTACTCAGGATGTCCAGGACTTCCCTACAATCCAATGACTACAGATGGCAGGTGGCCGAGGTGGTCTTCGCCGAGGTGGCAGGAACTGCTCTGCTGGTGTTCTTTGTCTGCATGAGTCAAATAAATTTCTTCCCAGAAATGCCTTTGCCAACGTTACAACCTGCCATCATGACAGCTGTTGCAGTCGCTACTATAATACAGGTGAGTTTACAACAAAGTTGTTTTGCTTTTGCATACTGAGCAGATCCTAGAAGAACGACAAAATTAATTCTTCCCAATCAAATCCAAAAACGATTTATTCATTCCAAAGTTCGATGTAGTCAACAATGGGCTGCTTGAAAACAAACTTTTCTTTTAAAGAGTTTGTTAACATCTGAGTTTATTCCTGATGGAGCTAGAACGAAACTTTTCCAAAAAGAGAAGTCTTCATTAAACCGGTCAAGCTAAGGAACCATAGTTGATCTTTCCATAGATGGGATTTTAGAAAATTAAAATGCAGAATGAAATTTGATCACTTTTACAAACCAGAGTATGAGACTTTACAGCAAATAAATAGATTATTGTGATTTAAATTATTTTATGAATGATCTGGTAGTATGTACAACAAAAGCATCATGAGACTGTTTGGTCTTCAATAGCTTAGTTTTGGATAATCCTCCGAACCGAAAGTATTTCGTATAACTAACAGGATTTTACCCATTTTCCTTTATCAGGAGTCTTTTCAATGGTTCTCAGGTGCCAGGAGAAAGAAGTAGATTAGAATACAAGTTGAGGGGCAAACATGCTTCAAAATCTCCTTCTCACCTCCTCAAACTCGTAGCAACTTAACAAATTCCGTGTATTCAATTCTCTCTATTTTACAATGTAGTTTTATTTCTCCAGATATTCGGCCACATCAGTCAAGCTCACATCAACCCTGCCGTGACCATCGCCCTTCTCACCCTTGGTCACGTGACTCCGGCCATGGCAGGGGTGTACTGTGTGTCCCAGATAGCCGGGGCACTGCTGGGGTATGGCATGTTGTTGGTGAGTACCTCAATAGGCTATAAGAACGTTTCAGTAAGCCTTCGAAAAAAATATTTGTGTATTGAATAAGAATCTGAAAATTATTCCCAATGCATTGAAAGAAACCACTGTTTTGTCTTTGAAAATAATGTGATTAACCTCAGATTATTTTAATCATCTAGTTGAGTTAAAACGCACATTGTTGTATATTTTAAGATAAATATGAACAAAGGATGAATGACATAGAGCAAAGTGTCTAATGTTGTTAAAAGTTAAGCCAAGCTGTTCAAAATCAATGATTTTCTTTATGTTGAAACCCAATAATTAGATAATTGGTTGACTTTTTTCCTAACCCGGTTAAAAATGAATGAAAGAAGAATGAAAAGAAGTAACGAATAGAAACAGAAAGAATAAAAAACCATTGACAGTTTATCGTCTATTTGATTCTTGTACTTTTTGACAAAAATTTTTGTTTTCAAAAGTCAACTTGGTTGTCAACCTCACCTCTTTAACGATTTAGCTACCAAGTAGGCCTATCATACGCTATAAGATGAAAATGTTCAAACATAACAAACTCGGTTGTTAGTGCCATGGACAAAAGTAGTGCGTTGTAACTTCATTTACTTTATATCCTCATTTCTTTAGGCTGAAGACGATTACGTCTCAGGAAATACGTAATGTAATTTTCCCCACTGAAACTTTACTTTACGCTTTGAGCACAAACAGAAACTGCCTCTAACTGGTCCACATAGAAGATTTTGAGTTAATTACGATACATTACTTGCAGAGCTTCACCCCTCCAGATCTGACCGCCTTCAAGACTCCCGGGTTCTGCTGCACCCTCCCCCACCCCAGTCTGTCAGCTGTGCAGGCGCTAGGCGTGGAGTTTGTGGCGTCCTGCGTACTGATCTTGGTGGTCTGCGCATGCGTAGATCCCAGGAACGCCCACAGGCTTGACTCCGCCCCTCTCAAGTTTGGGACTACGCTGATGACGCTGTGTGTTGGAACAGTGAGTGTCTTAAGTAGTAGTTATATCAGCATAGGTATGTTATCTGTGTAAAAAGTGAATAAAATAAATAACTGACAAACAATAGAAATTGTATACTAAAGAAAATTATAAATCATCGGTGTGCAGCAAGACATAGGTTTGTGGATTTTCAAGACTGAGTTTTTTCACAAAAAAAGATTTCTGAACCTAAACAAGAAATTAGTTGAACACATTCAAGCTGAAGATTATCTTATTTATTTTAAATAAACACCAATATTTTATAAATCCCCTCCCAATAGTTTATAGATAAGATTGCTTAAAGAAGAGATCCGAAAAATTCTCCAGCGGTAAAGCTTGTAATTAGTTATTAACAACTTTTCGTCAAAATGATATATTTCACAAGAGAAACACACACACTTTAGCCTCTTGCGGGTTGGTAAATCTACAAAGGGTTCTAAGCCTACACATGAAGCCACAAAGGATGTAACAAAGGTAAAGAGCATTAAAGAACTTAGTGGATTCTAAGCAGCCTTAAGACAACCCAAGAAATATTTCGTGGTTATAATTTTATACACATTTTAAGGGGTTTGCGTATATCTCTTTGTCCTTGGTATACCTACACGAAAACTAAGAACCCGACACTGATTACATTTTCTACGATAATGTAGATAATCAATTAATCAGCTGGTTAATATAATAGATCTATTTATGTCCTCGATAACTACAGCTGGGCCACAAGATAGGTGTAGCTTTTGGAAGTAAATAATCGGTCTCCATGGCAACGAAAAGAAAATTTACTGTATTTACGTCTGCTTTATTTTTACATTTCAATGAAGTTAATATTAATCTTACTCTGACTAGCTGCTAATGAAATTGACACAAAATAATACAATAAAAGTGGAGTAGAGTATGTTTCTTTTATTGAATTGTAGTGTGTGACATTACTCCGTTGCGAAGCACAAACCAAGCAACAATCTTAAGAAATTTGTAAATAAAATTTACAAACACATACATAACATAAAATACTCTATTATTGTCATTTACCTCTATACAAGTACATTGGTACTTACTTAAATTGTACATTATAGAGTAAAAAATGGTTTAATGTGCTATAGAGTAAAGTAAAAGTAAAGAGGGTTTAGTCCAAATTGTAATTGGATATTTTCAACTTGTAGGGTCAATACACTGGTGCCAGCTTCAATCCTGCTAGAAGTTTAGCACCTGCACTCTGGACAGGTACTTGGACTGGTCATTGGGTAAGCACTACTCAAAGCTTTAATTGATTGAACATTAACGTTTAATATTTATAAGGACCGCTTCGATTTGAATTATTTGGCTTCTGTAATACGACTATGACTACAGCGGGTCCGATGGTGGTTAGAGTGCGAGATGTCTTGGGTTCGAATCTCAATACTCACCAATTTTGATATGTGATACGACTCGGTGGTTTGGAATCTACCATCCTCCGACGGTCCTCCATCTATAAAAAGGATGGGCCATCTAAACGAAGACAACAATGTTTGTTCGATTTATGATATTACAATAATTTATATTAAAACAGGGGTTTTAGTTTTTTTTACCAAGGTGGTAAGCAACAGAAGCCTTATTTCACATGCGTTTGGACACAAATTCTTCGAGAAAACAATAAGGTAACTCTGATTTAATATGTTTTCTATAGCTTGTGCCTCTGTTTCACACTCTTCAGCATTATAACTTAATTTGAATAAAACCAATTGGGGATGGGTGGGATTTGAACCCGCTCTAGAATTTAGACTTCCAATTACATAATATGTCTACCCCAGTTAGACCATGGTCAAGTAAAATTATAGCTTCCGTAGAAACATAGAAGATTTGTTTCCTGCATTACTAATTCCCAATTTAATTTCCACCCAATCTTCTTCACAGATATACTGGCTGGGGCCGTTGCTGAGCGGAGTCACCACAGCGTTGTTCTACAAAGCAATATTCATTCCCCGTGCTCAGCAATCCTACTCAGAACCTGTCGTCAGCATAGAGGCTGAACCGTTGAACCAGGTCAAGGTCAGAGCATCAGCGTCTGACGGGGAAGAGAAGAGAAATAGTAGATAGTGACATGAAACACCAGCTGCTTGAAGCTCAAGAAAATACTCATAGGACACTACAAAAATTGCTACGAAGTGTAGTCTTTTACATTGAGAGAGATTCATTAGACTTTTTAAGGAGTGAACATTCAGGTAGTGATGAGACTTAAAGGAATTCATGTGATTGAAAGAGAAAATTGGAATATATTTTCTTAGCGATAATGTTTAATGATAAACATCAAACAAACCTACTGCGTTGAAAAAATCTAAAAATTTAGTGAAAGAGAAATATTATCATTTTTGGATGTTGTATCATCAATTAGAAAAGCGATCATAAATAGAATAAATGATTTATGATTGAAATAATTGTAACACTTAATGGTATTGCACAGGATTGGGTAGGTATACCCTTTTAATTTAAATCGGGGACAAAATTTGTCGTGTAACTGAATTTTATGGTTTACAAGTTGGGTCATGTGGGTAATGAGTCTATGTGTCAACGATAACAAACAGCAACAACAACAAACATCAATGTTAACAATGTTGTTGGGGGTGTTAAGTTTGCCCTTTTAAAACTTTATCTGATACTTACCCCACAACCTAGAAGGAACAGTGCTAACTTTGGTTAGAGAGCTGAATTTTTATTTGAGACTACAAGGCCGATATTACCACAAAAAGTTTGATTAAAAGTTAACATAGGTTAACACACTTGGCCACAGCTATTTCAATTCAATATGATTGGTAACTATAGTGTCATACTTGAGATTTTATTGTGGCGTAGCTTCTGGATCACTACGATTATTACAATAGTAGTTTATATTACCTCATGTGTCGCCAAGTGATTTAGCTGTTGTATTTTAACTGTCATTGTTTCAAAGGCCTTGATGGCTTCATTTTACATGGTCATTTTGAATAAGATAACTACTGCTTAATGTCCATGTAAACTTGAAAAATGAAGGCATCAAGGCCTTCGAAAGCATGATAACAACTTAGATACACACACAAGATAAATTATTGGGGAAATTAAATGTAATATAACCTAATATTTATTGTTAGCCAATTGATTCGAAATATACACCAACCGGTATTGTAGCATCGTTCTATTTCTACAGCTGATATGACCAAAACAAAAACATCGGTAAAAACCAAATGGAAATGTCAAAAAGTTGCAGTTCATTCATCATTCATCGGAGACCTCCGGCGACGAACAACAATCTCTCAACATTTAATCATTTCTGTAACAAGTTTGTCCAAGTTTAAAATAACTGACAGTGTTTCTCTTTTCCACCAAACTTTTTCTCCAATTTGTACGCAAAAACTCTGTGGCGGAGTGAGCTTTTGCTGTTTTTAATTTTATATTTGATCAAGTATTTTCGTATTCCCAAGATTTTTATCTGATTAATTATCATCAGCAGACTTGTTAAATAATCGACTGTATTGATTCCAAGTAGATTTCTTATCCAATTATGAAATCACAGCTTGTTTTGATACATGTTAAATGTTGGACACGTTCGAGGAGATTGGTAACTGTACTACGGTGTTACTCTCCTTATGGTGATTTTATTATATAAACTGTACTTCTTGGTTATGATAAAAAAAGTAAAAGAACCAATTGCTTCAAATAGGTTGTTTTGGGTACAGTACCATAAATAACCTAAATTATCAGCTGAATTTTTATTCGGATATATACAAATCGTATTGGACACAGTTTTCATGAGATATAAATACTGATGTAGGCTATGTATTGAATATGAATATTGATATTATATCATAGGTTTACTGTTGAACTGTGCCCCTATGGTGGACAAAACCAACATTAAAATACTAATCTAAACTCTACAAGTGATACAAGTATTTTGCTAAATAGGTGCAAATAAGGTGTGTACAGAATGAGTTTTAAATAAGAGTAAAAACTTGAACATGATGGAATTTTGTTGCATAGTGTCATGTTTGTACAAACACACTTAACACTGTCCTACACTATAAATTATAAATCAATAACGATGTCTTAATTTAATCATGTTGCTAAATAAAATAGGCCTACTCATGTTTTTGATCAACTAAGTGTGCATTCGGTGTTTTTATTTTACTAAGCAAGTACCGTACTATTTAATTACATCAGTACATAAATGCCACGGATTTAACCTACTCGAGATTCAGAATTAATTTCACCGTCCCCCCTGACCGCAGTCATATCTTATATACACTGTGGTTGGACTATAACTGGCTTTAAGGATTATGGCCGTGTATCTTTGGTCATGTTTGCATGATTATCCAATGAATAATATCATAGACTAACGAACACGGGAGTATGTTAATTTTATTTTTATTTTTGAACAATAAATACTAAAGTAAAACAGCTGTTTTAATACACACGTTACTGGTCTAAAGTACAATTGTTTACCCCCTAAAAAGCCTTTTTAGTCCCTACGAAGTAAAAGTCAGCTGTTTTAAACAAACTTGTAAACTTTAATTATAAGTAATCGCACGTTTCGAAATTATATATCGATTAATCGGTTGTAGCTTATTGTTGCGTTCTTGTCAGTAGTTCGACATATCGATAGAATGACGTATACTAAAACATTCATAATGGACGAAATGATTGAGTCATTTACTACAAATAAGTGATAGCAGTTGTGAAACTGCTTATTAGCATTAGCAAAATTTAAAACCAGTTAAAGTAATTTTTATTTACGCACCTCTACTGAGTGTATCAATACTTTATTGATAAAACAAAGTTAGATTTTTATTTACAGGCAAGACCAATTTTTAAATTATTTTCCAAACTAGAACGATCTTTTTTAAAGACTTGCCATTTTGCATGCAATCTTATGTAATTTTCTCCTAGTCGTTTTCTTTTAGCTTATTTTATTTTTCACATAAGTTATCTAAACGTTTTTCCAATAACATTTTAGCACATTCGCAAACGAATTGCAAGAAAACATATTATATTCAAACGAATGTTTTCACAAGCAAAATGTTATGTTAAAGATTTACAGTTATAGAGATGTCAGTTCCCTGGAGGAAAGTTTAAATGGGTTTGCATGTTATTCATGTTTCTTTACTATTTTCGTCTGGGAATAGAAATAAGTTTTTGACAGTTAAAATTGCAGTTAGGTTGGACGTAATTGATATTTGTATCTTATAGATTTTCGTTGTAAAAACAGTCTTAAGTGTAAGTGTTTTAAATGTCTTAAGTCTTAAGTTTACAATAACTGAAACCATAACAAAATTGAAAATTAATAGTTATTAATTTTTTTTTATTTAAATAGTTAATAGTAAAATGTTCAAGATAACGGTAAGTATCACATGAAAAAAGATAAGATTCAAACCTTACTATCCTCAATATTAATGTAAAATATTCTAGAAATGAATAATTAAAATAATAGTAAAGTAATATCTAAACCCTAAGTTTTTATTTTGCATGACCGAATATAATATTCATAGAGCTTTTAATGAAGTGTACTGAAACAGATTAGGAATTGAATAATTAGTAAGAAAAATTAAAGAAAATCTAAAACACCAAAAGGTTAGAAGTTTGATCTTGGGCTGGTTATGAGACCAATTATTTATGTTCATAAAACGAGTGTAGCAAAATAAATTCTGGAGTGTTCAAAGTTTACTAAGAAAATTATAGTAAACAAAAACATCAAGTTGGAATTTGGCCTCGACAATTCAATACAAATTTCGGGTTAAACAACAGGTATAAGTTATTTCCAAACTGTTAATAATTTCCTTATCAAGTTCAAGATGTTGAAAATAATATTAGTTCTGTTTAGTTCATCAAATTCAGAAGAAATAAAACTAACTTGTTGCTATTCTTTCTAGCTTAGAGCACCATAGTGGTAGCTTAACTGTAAGCAGCTTATTAATTGTAAACACTGACTGACTAATTGATGAAGTTGATATTGCCTCAAGTCCAGATACACAAATGTCGAGTTTAGCAACAATAATTGCATCCTAGAACGTTGACTTAGCTACTAAAGGGGCAAAACTATCTAATATTGCAATTGATGATATTGAACATTGACTTCTGAAACAATTCCTTAAACTAGTCTTACTTCGAAACATAGATTTCTTCAGTTTAAATCAAAGCTTGATGAAGAACAAAACAACTGAAATATTGAAAGGGTGCCAAATGCGGTAGTCCATTATAAAACCAAAGATTTTTAATACAAATTCAATCCATTTAAATACAGAGATATGACTAATTCAACAAACTATTTGCTGGCCAAGAGATGAGTGAATTAGTGGAAAAAGTATAAGATTGGGAGAAATTTATTAATTGCGGAGATCTCTTTAAACTAATACCAATCTAATAATTTTACAACAACTCTAAAACAAATACAACATAATCTTTCTTAAAAGTAAACTTAAAGTCAAATTTTGGACCATAAAACATCACAGTAAACCATCCAGACCCGCCCCCTTATCATTAGTTTACCGCAGTCTGACTTACCCACTTTGGGCCAAAATTTATTAACTCGGGCCACTGTAGGGTTAGGCCCCACCTAACAAACTTTTGATTGCGTTTTCAAGAGTCGACTTTGAAGGAAGGTGATATTTTCTAAACTTAATTATTAGACTTATTCTATCCCTCAGTAGCCAGATGTGGAAAATATTTTTTGTTGATTGGCATTTATGTATGTAAATTAAGCTTTTTAGAGGGATAAGGTAGTTATACTTTATCTATCAGGCTTTATAAGGTTAATGAAAGATGATGTTTTATACCAATCTCAAGAGGATTTGTAAATTTAACTTTTAATTGAAGATATCGTGTTGTTGAGGATTGTATGAGTGAACTTCAATGTAATACATCAATAAATTATGAAAAAATAACTTCCTAACTAATATTAAAGTAGTACGGTATCTATATATTAAAACGCAAGCATGTTTCTTTAAAACCTTTTTCCTCAGCTAGTGTGCATCGCAAGGAAAATATACGTATACTGCCAAAAAGATATTTACCTGTAGATGTGCAGAATCCCTTTATACATTAAAATATGCTCAAAAATAAGCACAAAAAGGGTTGCCATGCTGGTAAAGAAATAAGAACGCAATAAA